GGGTAATTGGGATGGGTGTGTCAGAGGCAATGAGATTGGCACGGGATAGAGCAGAATTTAGGGCTGTTGTCCATAGGGTTACTGTGAGTCGCAAACGACTTGACGGCACGTAACAACAACAACAAGGTAGCGTGTCAGTCAGCTTGACATGGTGTGATGCTAATGAACGGTAGGTTCAGTACGCCAGCTGCCATCGTGTGTGCGACTCCCTAAAGACCCAGCTTGGTTCTTCTCCATTGTCTCCTTTTGGAGTCGTACCTGGGTTTTTTTTTGGTTCCTGATTGTATTGCCAGTTTTCTTTCTAATCCACTGAGGAATGGCCTGTTCTGCATTTGTTTCTTGGCCAGAAACCTTTGATCCTGAAAGTCTTATGAGAAGACATAGTGGAGACAAAACAGGCCCACACAAAACACGATGGCAGAGGAAAAGAAAGAAGAGTAGCCTTGTGCCACATTTTCCCTTGTGCCCGAGACCTCCTGCTGTGATCCCGGTTCACAGTCAGTCTTGGTAACCAGGGACTGTCCAGTTCTTCTGGACTCACACTTGTGAGGATGACATGTGCTTGTCCCATGAGTGCCTCACAGGGATCTCTGGTAGCCTAGTGGATAAGATCTTGTGCTGCCAACCCAAGAACAAGGTGTTCATATCCACTAGCTGCTCCACAGGACAAGGATGGGCACAATCTCTTCCATGTGGTTGCAGCCTCTAAAAACCCACTGGAAGGTCAAAAAAACTATTGAGGTTTTTTTTGAATGACTGATAAAGCTACCCTGGTGGGGTAGTGTGTTGTGTTAATGTTGGACTGCTAACCAAAAGCCCAAGAGCTCGGAGCTGCCAGCCATTCCATGAGAGAAAGATGGGCAGTCCCCAAAACCTGTGGAGGATCTCCCTGAGTCGAAAGGGACCTGATGGCAGTGGACATGGTTTGGGTTTTTAATGGCTAATAAAATTGTGACTATTGCTTTGTGTGTTTTCATGACATCTGAATGTCATCTTTGGTGACATGTCAACATCCTCTGCCATTTTTTATTTAGGGTGTGTTTCTTTTTCTTGTTCAAGTGTTAGCATCTGTAAATTTTATGGATTAACCACTTCTCTGATAAGCTATTATGAAAAATTGTTTACCAGACTGTAGGTTAGTTTTCTAATCTTTTGCTGTGCTTAAATTTTTCATTTCCAGGAGATAGTTTTCCAGTCTGTCTTCTGCGACTTTTGAGTTTTTAGATACATTTGATTGTGTACTTGGGCCATGAGTAGGACACCTGAGTTTGCACCTATGTTTTCCATGATGATCTTTATAGTTTTTTAGGTTTGATAGTCAGCTTTTTTTATCCACCTTGAATTGGTTTGGGTTTGTGTTTTGGTTTGGTTTTTGGGTTTTTCCCCCTACACTTTATTGCAGATCTGGAAGGACAGAGAGAATTCTCAAAAACTGCCTCCTTTTGAATTGGTTTTTGTATGTAAGATATCAACTCTGGTTTGTTTTGGTGTGGTTTTCTTTTTTTTTCTTTCTTTCTTTTTTTTTTTTTTTGAAAATGGGCATCTCCAGTTTTGCCATCATGCTTTGTTAAAGAGGCCATCTCTTCCCCTTGTAAGGGGCTTCAGCCCTTTGTCAAGGTCAGTGGTCCATCGGTAGATGGATCTATGTCTAGATTCTCATGCTGTCTCTTTGGTCTGGGTGTGTTATACTAATGCCACGTGGCTTTGTGTCATTGGTTGGAGGCTGGGGAATACGAGGCCTCCTGCTTTGTGGTTCCTCCTTAGTTTCGCATCTCTTCACTTGCCTGGGTCTCTTTTATTTCCATATATAAAACTGGTAATTAGTGTTTCTGTCTCTTAAAGAGACGAGATCAAGGTGGAAGTTTTATTCTCCCTGAGTTTGCAAAGGCTGCCTTACCTCCTCCCTCGCACAGAGCCGCTAGGGGGCTCCAGCCACCAACTTCTCCACAGCCACATTTCTCCCACCTGCCTGCGCCACCAAGATCCCTTGTCATGTGCTTGTCCACCCTGCGTAAATGGTGAGCACAGATGAAGGGGCTACGTGCTATTAACCTACTCAAATTTCAAATGAATTTACAAGTGTGGTGGTTTGTGTCCTGCTTGAGATGTCCCTGGTTATAGAAACTTGAATAAAAAAAAAATGGTGGGGAGAATTAGGGATCTGGGGTATGGGGTATCTGTAAGCCCCGGAAGTGCTCTCTGCTGAGCACTTGGCTTGGTAGTGGAGTGGGAAGAAACTACGTTCCTGAACAAGAGTGCCCAAGTTTTTAAAAAGGCTAGGGAATGTGAGGACAGTGGTACATGACCAGAGAAAGTGAAGACCACTAGTGAGCCAGAGAGCAAGAAGGAGCCTACACAGGGCGTTGAGTCGGGAGATAGGAAGGAAGCAGGAATGCTTAGTGGGGAAAGTGAAGAGCTGCAGAATAGAAGTCAGTCTATACTCAAACCATAGCACCCGAGGGCTGTGTTCACTGGGGCCTCAGCACCCGAGGGCTGTGTTCACATGGGGCTTCAATACCTGAGGCCTATCTTCTCAGTGGAGCATACAGGAAACCTGCTTGGCTCCCAGGCTTCCTTCTCAACAACTCCCAGACGAAACACCCACGTCAGCTAGAATATTCCTCTACCATCTTTGACTGCACACACCCATCTTCCAGATGCTTAGCATATGTGACTCTCCTCAGTTCTGTTATCTTTATTTGTTTGTTTATTTTTTACTAAAATAGCTTGAAGTTAGATCTTGTTCTGAACACACTCTGCTTTTAAAATGATCCTTAATTTTGTTGTTTGTTTTTCCTCACAGGGGTCAGGTGATTAACATGAGATACCTGGAATATTTTGAGAAAATACTTCATTTTATTAAAGATAGGATTCTTGTTTATCATGGGTAATTTTCTTCTTTTCTTTTTTGTAATTATTGACAGACTAAACAAAGTGCATCAAATCTAATTAAGTTCATGAAATCCATGGACCCCAATCGATTGTTTTTTTTTGCTTTAAATATAATTTGTTGTTGTATGCCATCAAGTTGGAACCAACCATAGCTGACCCTCCAGCGGATTTTCAGAGGTGGTTAATCCCCCAGGCGATTGCCTATCCTTTTCCACTGGAACAGCTGGTTACCTTCAGGATTGCAGCACACTTTCTTACCTCTAGGCCACCAGAGCTCGCTAATATAGAGAGACAGTATGACTTTTTTGGTCTCCTTTTCTCTACAAAGCAAGACATTTCTCTAAATTTACCTGTTAAGGGTTTCTGCCTTAATATTCAATCTACCTTCATTGAACAGTGGTGTGGTACAGACACAGCCCTGGACTGAGCACTAGGGGGAAGAATTACAGGAGTTAGCTAACACCAAATGTAAAATTGGTTTTAAACACATAGCAGGATTCTTCTGTTGGATAACTTTAAAAGGAAAACCCCAATTACATCTAATGCCAGAGTTTATAACCAAATTTACAACCAAACCCGCGCAGGTGGACACACAGACACTGGCTGTCAGCTCATCCTGCTGCCTCCAGTTACACCTTCTAGACAGTGGCTTGTCTATTTCCTTCCTTCTCATCTGTAGCCCCAGAATCATTAAGATTAAGCTGTTCCATGATTTAAAAACTTTGTGGGTATCATTTTGACCATTGTGTAATCTATAATTAAGGAAAACGCATTTAAATTAAAAGTAATAGCATAACTAGTTATTACTTCTGCATTAATCTCAATGGTTTTCTTTCTCTCTCCCTCTCACACTCCCTTTTCCTCCCACACCTCCACCTGTCTCTGTCTTTCTCTCTCCTGCTTTCCCTCTCTCCTCTTCTCTCCCCCCTCCTCTGCTCTCTTTTCTCTTTCCCCTTCTCCTCTTCTCTCTCCTCCTCTGCTATTCTCTCTCCTCTGCTCTTCTCTCCTCTCTTCACTCTTTCCTCGCTTCTTCTCTTTCCCCATCCCATTCTCTCCCCCTTACTCTTGCTCTTTCTCTCCCCCCTTTTTTCTTCTCTCTCCCTCCTCCCCCCTTCCACCTTGCCCCTTCTCCTTCTGTCTTTCTTTCTCTGTCCATTTTAAGAGCTAATAATCCTAAAGGACTGTTAGACGTTAGAGAAGCTCTGGAAAAGGTACACAAAGTAGAAGACCTTCTGCCAATTATGAAGGTAAGTTCAGCAAAATGTCAGTGAGCAGTTTTAGGGGAAAATAAAATGATAGAATGTTTTTAGAAGGACTCCTAACTGATGAATACCCATGTATTAATGTGGGCAATACATGTTTAAATTGCATAACTCATTGCCATTGAGTCAAAACTGACTCTTAGCTGGCGCTGCAACAGGTTTTCAGAATCTGTGAAGTGCTTGGAAGGAGATTGCTTGTCTTTCTCTCAGGGAGCAGCTGGTGGTTTTGAACTGTTTGCCTTTGGGTTGACAGTGCAACTCCATAGCCACTGTTGTTGCTATGTGCCGTCAAGTCTCTTGTGACTCATAGCAACCCTATGTAAAACAGCCCTAAACCCTGCTCTATCCTGTGCCAGTCGGACTGTCTCTGACACACCCATCCCGATTATCCCAGTCACTGAATCAATCCATCTCATAGCGGGTCTTCCCCTCTTGTGCCGTCCCTCCACCCTCCCAAGCATGATGTCCCTCTCCAAGGACCTGTCCCTCCTTACAACATGTCCAAAGTATGTCAGACGAAGCCCCAGAATCCTTGCCTCCAAGGAGCAGCCTGGTTTAACCCTCTCCAGGATGAATCTGTTTATTTTCTTGGCAGTCCATGGAACATTCAATACTCTTCTCCAGCACTACAGTTCAAAGGCATCAATTCTCCTTCTGTCCTCCCTAGTCACTGTCCAACTCTCTGATGCATAACAAGTGATTGCCAAGACCATAGCCTGTATCAGGTGCACCTTAGTCTCCAGAGTGACACCATTGCTCTTCAGTACCCTGGAGAGGTCCCTAATAGCAGACTTTCCCATCGCAATATGTTTTTTGATTTCCTGGCTACTGGTGCCAAGAGTGTTGACCATGGAGCCAAGCTGACTAAAGTTGTTAACAATCTCAATCTTTTCACCATCCATCCTGATGCTGTCAGTTGGTCCAGTGGTGAGAATCTTTGTCTTCTTTACATTGAGCCTCAATCCATACTGAAGGCTGCAGTCCTTGACCCTCTGCAGCAAGCATTTCAGGTCCTCCTCAGTTTCAGCAAGCAGGGTTGCATCATCTACATAAGGTACAAAAGGCCATAGCCACTAGGCCACCAAAAAATACTATAATGAATAGACTGGTTAATAACCTAAATGAAATTAACTGCAAGCATTAGACTGAAAGATAAGAATTAATCTGCAAGGAAGTACTTAACATAAAGTGCATACATTTAAAGCTCAGATGGTGTGTGCTTAACTCCAAGTTGATGGTTTGAATCTGCACAGCAATGTCATGGACAAAGACACAGCAATCTACTTCTGCGAAGCTCACAGTCTTGAGGAGAAAAGAATATATGTCGTTGGTTTTTTCTTCTGTCCACCCTGTAATGACTTGTGCCCAGTGGTCCTTCAGAACTTTATATTGTGCCATCAAATCAGAACTGACTCAGAGGGTTTTTCAGAGACTGTAGCTCTCACAGGAGGAGATTGCCTATCTTTCTCCTGAGGAGTAGCTGGTGGATTTGAACACCATGCCTTTGAGTTAGCAGCCCAGCTCCTTACCACTTGGCTACTAGAGCTTGCGTCCGTAGCAGTTATTAACAGGCAGCAGCTTTTAGCATTGGACCATCACAAGGCCACAGCAAGCCTAGATCCTCCCTGTCAGCATAGTGCCAGGATGAGATAAGAGAAATAGTGGGGAAAAAAGAATTCAAACACCTTAAGGTATACTGTAAAAAAATGGGCATGTGAGGTATGGATGAAAATGCTAGAGAATTTCAGCATCAGAAATTGAGGCAGTGAGAAAGGAAGCACAAATATGCTATGCTGTGTAGTCAGGAAGGGAATACAGTTACTGACTCACTCATGACATTGATAGAAAAATACAAAGAGAATTTTTTTCCTCACGTATTTTTTGGGTGTAGCATAAATTTCTAAGATGTCTTTCTAAAAAAACTTATTGTGATTTGGGTGAAAGTTTAGAGAATCTTCCTTTACCATCCAGTGATGTTTACACATTTGTCTCCCTCACTGATTGTAGTCTCCTCAGTATAATGGCACTCATCCCTTTCCCTCCCTGGGTTTCCCATCTCCATTCATCCTATCCTCCACTTCCTGTCTTGTCAGCTTTGTCCTCAAATGAGTGGTTGTGCTGATGGGTATATTCTGTGTGGTGTGGGCATTGATATTGCTGTTACCATATAGACTTGTCTGTTGTTTGGCTGAGAGCTGACCACCAGGGGTAGTTCAGTCCCAGGTTTGAAGCACTGTAGTCACGGAGGTTCCACCAGTGTCCATCAGGCAGTAAGTATGGTAATTTTTTTTGTTTTGTTCTGCATTTTTTCCCCCTCTTTGTCTGTCTAGGATCTCTGGTAGTAATTGCAATTGGCACCATGTTGTTCTTGTGTGGGAGCAGTGGAAGCGGCAAGTGGTCATTAATTTCATCTAGGGGCCATCTAGTTCTTGTGTTGGGGCAGTGGGAGTTACAGTTGGTCAGTAATTGCAATGAGCATCATCTTGTTCCTTTGTGGAGGCAGTAGGAGCTGTGATTGGTCACTAATGGCAGCCAGGCACCATCTAGTTTTTATGTCAGGGTAGGAGGAGCTGTGATTGGTCAGTAATTGTAGCTGGCCACCATCTAGTTCCTGTGGGGAGGCAGAGAGGGAGCTGTGGTTGGTCATTAATTGCAGCCAGGCACCATCTAGTTCTTTTGTAGGGACAGTGGCAGCTGTGATTAGTCAGGAATGTGTCTTGTCTCCATACCTTTTCAGCCTGTATGCAGAACAGATCAGGACTGGGGGGAAAGTCATCAACAATCTGCGTTATGCAGATGACACAACTTTGCTTGCTCAAAGTAAGGAGGACCTGAAGCATTTGATGCTGAAGGTCAAGGATTTCAGCCTTCAATATAGATTGAAGCTCACCATCTAGAAGATAAAATTTTCACCACTGGGCAAGTGACAACACCATGATAGATGGAGAAGAGATTGAGGTTGTTAACAATTTCAGCTTACTCAGGTCCACAACCAACACTCTTCGCACCAATAGTGAGGAAATCAAAAGATGAATTGCAATGTGGAAGACTGCTGTCAAGGACTTTTCCACATTACTAAAGAGCAGTGTTATCAGTCTAGAGACTAAGGTGCACCAAATCCAGGCCATGGTCTTTGCAATTACTTGCTATGCATCAGGGAGCTGGACTATGACTAGGGATGATAGAAGGAGAGTTGTGCCTTTGAGTTGTGGTGCTGGAGAAGAGTCTTGAACATACCATAGACCATCAGGAGAACAAATAGTTCTGTCTTAGAAAGAATGAAACTGAATTCCTCCAAAAGGCAAGAATTTTGAAGCTCTATCTCATATACTTTGGGCACCTGGCCAGGAGGGACTAATCCTTGGAGAAGGACATCATGCATGGAAGGGTAGAGGGACTGCTCAGGAGAGGAAGACCCTGAGAGGATTGACACAGTAACTAGGGCAGTGGGATTAGGTATGTCAGAGTCATTGAGACTGGCTCAGAATAAGGCAGGGTTCAGAACTATTGTACATAGGGTCGCTATGAGTCTTGGGCTGTTCTATGGCACATAACAACAACAACCATCTAGTTCTTTGTAGGGCAGCTCCTAGGAGCTGTGGTTGGTCAGTAATTGAAGCTGGGCACCGTCTAGTTCTTGTGGAGGGGGATTGAGAGCTGTGGTTGATCAGTAATTGCAGTTGGGCACCATCTAGTTCTTTGTAGGGACAGCAGGAGTTGAGGTTGCTTAGTAGTTGTAGCTGGGCACCATTTAGTTCCTGTGTAGAGGCAGTGGGAGCTGTAGTTGGTCAGTAATTGCAGTTGGTGCTATCTAATCCTTGTGGAGGGGCAGTGGGAGCTGTGGTTGGCTTGGTCTGGCCCTGTCCATGAGTCTTTGATTCTCTCTGTGCTTTGCTTCAGGTAGAAGAGGCCAATTGTTATGTCTTAGGAGACTTCCCAGACCCTTGGGCTGCTGCTCACCACAGTAGGACACAGGGCATTGTCTTCTTGAACATGTGATGTCAGGTGACCAAGGTGTCTCTCAAGACTGGTCCTGAGTCCCAAATCCAGTGACTTCTCTTCAGGTGTTTGGTTATGGCTGAGAAGTTTACATAGCTTTGCTCCCTGTATGTTCTCTTCTAACTTAGAAAGTTTGTAGCACATTCAAATACATATGTAGAAATAGCTTCTGCCAAAGGCATACATACTTGTGATTATCCACACACTGACCTTCCCACAACTGTTGCTCTTGCATGTCGCTTAAGGGAATGTCAGTCCTTTAGTTGAAGGATCGTGCATGTCATAGAGTATACTCTTGTGCCCTTCCCAGTGATTTCTTTTGCTATCAGTCAACAGACACAACAGTTGAAAGGTAAATACTGGGAGAATACTAAACCCCTACAGAGTAGGAATATAGAATAATGAAAGCAGTCCTTTCCAGTGAAGGCTTATGAAAAAAGAAAATGTGATGAGGTCAACCAGAAATGTCACAGCAGTAACAAGCTCAATGTGGCACTAATGGTAAGCAGTCCTCATATGGAAAGACCAGGAGCTCAGGTTGGTTTGTAAAAGTCGAGTTGTATGCTGCCTATACAAATCACCTACAGCAAAATACTGTCTAGAGAGTTAAAGGGCGAAAGCATGCCCTGTAATTGGTAGTGAGAAGGAAAATCAGAATGGCAATGGCAGGGTCAGAAGCTAAAGTTCAGGCAACAGAAATTTTATTAATTGAAAAGATTGTAACTTGATGATCCTTTAATCCACCTGTGAATATACTTACTCAAAAAAGGTGTTGATAGCAGGTAGATTTACTTTTCCAATTAATAGTTTGAATGTTAATAAGAAATGTGAACAAAGGTTTCTTTGAAGCTACACACCCACTGCTCACTTAGCAACTGACTCAGCATCTGACCTTTTGTATGTCCTACAGTGGTGGAAAATGTACAGTATTAATGACGCACATCTGGCAGTCGCAAACACACAGGTTCTGAATGAGTCTTTAGCTG